TTTGACAGGTGACAGGCTGTGGCGATTTCTGAATTCCACAAGAAAAGGTTGAGAAGGACAACTGTTGGTGTAACGATGCGGCTCAGCGGTGATAACCGGGGTCGTCACCAGCGCAGGTAAGGTTCTGTGCTCGTCAAACTAGGAGCAGGGAACAAGCAGTGAGTGGACGGAACGTTACGACGGGCAAGGACTTAGCTGATGCTAGAGCTGAGGAGAGAGAGAGACAGCTGGGTGATCAGGCCAGTTGTTGAGCGAGCGTTGTTCAGACGAGGTAGTCGTAGGAGAAGGTGGTGGTAAGAAGCATGCATTTCTGAGAAGAGGAGGCCGGATGAAGGCCTCCTTATATACCTTTTGTCGATGCTTGTCTGTGTGTGGCAGAGAAGCGTCAACGGCTATAGAGAACACCGTGTGTGACGGTGCATGTAACGGCGCATGTAATGGCAGTGGTGTGCGCAACGGTGTGTAATGGAGTTTGCGTTTGTGATGGTCTGTGTAATGGTGTGTGTGATGGCGTGTGTAATGTAACAGTGCGTGTAACGGTGTGTGTAATGGGCGCAGCTGATGTAGCGGGCCGTCCGTTACAATACCCCCCCATCAAAATAAGTCGCTGCCCCAGCGACTGTGATTTCATTGAGTATCTAATAGGGCTTGTACATGGCGCGGCAAAGGTACTTGCGGTTAGTGTAATATATCTTGCGCTGAATGCGCATAGCTGTGGCCTTCGTCATACGAGGCTTCTTGCTGAACTTGAAGTACTTCCAGGCAGCTACCTCCAGTCCTGGGTGAGCAGCAGTGTCTGGGAGCCATACTTGCTCATTTTCTGGGCAGAGCACTGGTTGCTCATAGGTCACCTTGTACCTCAGGAAGGTCCTGTTCTTCTTTGTTATCACTTGATGCCCGATAACGTGGCATACTTTGGGGAGGAGATTGAGTCCCTCCAGCCACTCAATCTCAGGTTCTGGAGTTGCTTCATCCATAGTAGAGCCATGGCCTGAGTCAATGATGACTTCAATCCCTGGGCAGATTACCTGAGTCTCTGGAAGCCCTGGGCTCTTTGGTTCGCTTTGTTCGTCTCCCGGCTGCTCCCCAACGGTGAGCGGTGGCGCAATGCACAGATTGTTGCAGGCCTGCTCACCCTGGGTCCCAAATGGAGTTATTACCTGGGGTTCTAATCCCTCTACCCCAAACTCGCTCCATCGACTTTGATCGGCTCCCATTTGACGAGGAATTGACCAAATTGCTCGACTGAGCACTTCATCGAAAGCTTCGTTACAGGAGCTTTCCGTCCATCCAAAGAACGTCGAATTCGATTGAGAATTGACTGAGATATCCTCGTTTGAAGATGGGGCAAGAGCGTCTTCATGAATGAATTCAAAGAAGGGATCCATCTTGCAGTGGTTTGTTGTTCAATTGATGCTGGTTGCTGTTTGCTTGAGATCGAGTTGTGGTTTGCCTCGTGTGTCTGTGCTGTTGTTCGCTGGCAAAGGTGGGCAGACATCTGGCCCTTCTTATACCTTTTGAACCCAAGGTACCCCTGGTGCCTGAGGAGGAGGTGTTTGGTGAAGGCCTGCACTGTGGACGTTGTAGATCGACTCTCCACGGTGCGAATGCCCTGAAACTTGGCGCATTGTCGGTCAGCGTAGCCAAAAAAGTGTCGGCGGAGTTTCGTTTTGATCGGACCGCCGGTGTTGACGCAATAAGCCGTCAAATGTTCTATGAGATGTGGCGCAATCAGGAACGGTCCGTTGCTCCTGAAACTCGGCCCGTCGTTGGCGCAATAACGGCGGCGGTCGCTCTCCAAAGGACAGCGCAATCGGACGTGATCTGACAAATTGGTGCTTGTTTTAGTGTTCTGCTGTATGGTTGTAGTCGTGGCGGAATCTTGCGTTCTTGAGACAGGTAACATATTGATTGTTGGTCTTGTGTTGCAATTGATGCGCAACAGGCGGTGCATCAATTGCACTCAGCACTCCTTGTCTGTGATGGCAAGGTACTCTGCAAGTGCTTGAGTATCTGTTAACTCATCCTCCGGCAGCCACGAGTTGTCGTGGTTTTTGTATCCTTTCCACTTCACCAGATATTGGCATGTACCTCGGTGACGGCGTTGATCCAGTATCTTCTCAATGACGTATTCTTCCTGTCCATCAATTTGACAGGCGGGGGAGGCTTCTCGCGTCGCTGCGCAAAACGTTGTGGCATTGCGTGGAACGGCGCTAGGTGCTGGATGTTGATGACATTGTGTATCTGTAGTGGTGCTGGAAGCTCAAGTCGATAGCTGTTTGGCGTGATCCGTGCCAAGATCTTGTAGGGCCCGTAGTATTTAGGAAGAAGCTTGCGGGATTTGCGACGATGATCAAAGTTAGGGTGGACATGTCGAGATGAGAGTTTCACAAGATCTCCTACATTGAACGTCTTGTTGCTCTTCTTCTTGTTGTAGTTGCGCGCCTGCGCAATATGTGCGTCAGCAATGGCGTCAGCAGCGGCAAGTGCGCTGGCTTGTAGATCTTGCGCAAAGTCTTCGACTGATGACGGCGTGATTTGTTCGTTGGCTTGACCAATGGGTCGCAATGGAGATGCTGGATGATACCCCAAGTCAAGCTCAAAGGGTGTGCGTCCTGTAGAGGCTTGGACTGAGTCGTTGTAGGCATACTCCAGTGTGTTGAGGTGCTCGGACCAATTGTCCTGGCGATACGAGATGTAGTGCCGTATCATCTCCTTGATCACGCGGTTGAGACATTCTGTCTGTCCGTCTGTTTGAGGATGGAATGCTGTTGACATAGCGAGCTTTGTCCCCATGCCCTTGCAGAGCGCGGTCCAGAATAGGGATGTGAAGCGTGTGTCACGGTCAGACACGATGACAGAGGGCATCCCGTGAAGGCGTACAACCTCTCGGAAGAAAAGCTTTGCAATGTCGACTGCAGTGGCCGTAGACTTTGTTGCAACAAAGTGGGCGCGCTTTGTCAGCTTGTCAACAATGACCATGAGGGTGTTGTTGCCATTGGCATCTGTAGGGAAAGGGCCTGTGAAGTCAATAGACACTGTGTGCCATCGATGCGGCGGAATTGCAAGGGGCTGTAGCTGTCCGGCAAGCTGCTGGTTGCTTGCTTTGTTGCGTTGGCAGGAGGCGCAGCTGATGACGTACTCCTTGACGTCTTTCCAAAGGCTGGGCCACCAATACGTGTGAATGATGCGCTGGTAGGTCTTGGAGACGCCAAGATGTCCTGAGAGCGGCGCGTCATGAAAGTCCTGAAGTATCTGGAGTCGTAAGTCAACTCCTTTGATTACGCCGGAGGGCACAACCAGTGTTTTGCCACCGGTGACGGGGTGGATGCGCAGTAGTAGACCATTGTGTATTGTGAAGGCCGTCAGGTGTGCTGGGACTGGGGAACTGTTGGTTGGCAGTGCTTGAATGAGGCTCTGAGTGGCTTTGCAGTTGGCAATCTGTTTGCGGACTAGATTGTGGAACTTCAGCTCATCTTCTACTAGAGGCGCAGAGCTTATGTTGTTAGTCTCTGGCTCGTTGTCTGGTAGGGGTAGAGCAGCGCGTGACAACGGGTCCACGTTGCTGTGTACTCGTCCCTGACAATATACAATCTTCATGTTTGGTCGATGGTGTTGAAGCTCAAGCATCCACTTGGCTAGTCGTCGGTTATGCCCTTTGAAGTTGAAGAGCCATTGTAGGGCAGTGTGATCAGTGACGAGCGTGAACTGTGCCCCATCCAAGTAAGCATGCAGTTTCTTGATGGCCCATACGGCAGCAAGACATTCGAGTTCTGTGGCTGAGTAATTCTTCTCAGCAGGCGCAAGCTGTCGTGAAAGGTAGCAAAGCGGGTGTTCCTGCTCATCGTCTCCCAGTTGAGAGAGCACAGCGCCTAGACCAGAGAGTGAGGCGTCGGTGTGCAGGATGTACGGCTTTTCAAAGTTGGGATGCGCCAAGACAGGGTCTTGAGTGAGACATGTCTTCAGGGCGTCAAAGGCTTGTTGAGCCGCTTCATTCCATGTGAAGGCTACATTCTTCTTGATCAGTACGTGCAGTGGAGCCGCAATGTGCGCAAAGTCTTTGATGAAGCGTCAAAAATAGACGGCAAGTCCTATGAAGCGTTGCAGCTCCTTTACGTTGGTTGGAACAGGGAACTTGGCCACTGCCTCAATGTTGTGAGGTGCTGTCCCAATCCTGATGTTGCTGATAGTGTGCCCAAGCGCCTTGATCTTGGTGTGCGCAATGTTGGACTTCTTCAGAGAGAGTGTCATGCCAGTCTTGATGATTCGTTGCAAGACATCCTTAAGGTGGCGCAGGTGCTCTTCAAAGGTGTCGGAGTATGTGAAAGTGTCATCGATGTAGACAATGGTGTGCTTCCACTTACTGTTGCCAAGCGTGATATCCATGCCGCGCTGAAAGACGGAGGGTCCATTGACTACCCCAAATGGCATACGTTTGGGACGGTATAAGCCAAGGTGCGTGCGGAAAGCAAGCTTGTCGCAATCTTCTGCGGTTGCATTCATTGTTTGAAAGAATCCTTTGTTGGTGTCGAGTGAGGTGTACCACTGTTTGCCTGAGAACACACGGAGGGTGTCGTCGATTCTTGGCAGTGGGTAGACATCTTTCTTTGTGACAGCATTGAGCTTGCGGTAGTCAACGCACATACGTGTCTTGTCTCCTTGGCTGACTAAGACAACTGGCGAGCTCCATGGTGAGTTACACGGTTTGATAAGATCCTGCGCTAGCATCTCGGCTATAGTTTCTTCTATGATCTTGCGCCCAGCCGGACTGGCATGATAGGGTGGCTGGCTGATTGGTGGAGAGTCGCCTGTATCGACGCTGAACTTGACTACATCTGTGCTTCCAATAGGGCGGCTACCATAAGCAAATGCGCGTCGATTTGCCACAAGGACAGTCTCGAGCTGTTGTGCCTGCGCTGGCGTCAGCTCAGGGTTTATGTTTGCTTCAAGAAGCGCCTCCTTGAATTGGCGTATGTCTTCTCCTTCTTCAATTGTTACGTTGTACGATTCTTTCTCAGTGTTGCGCAATGGTGCACCCGTTGCATCGTTGGGAGGAGCCTGCTCCGCTGCAATGTGAATTGTTTCCTTTGGATATGCAGCAAAGAAAAGCTTGTTCTTCTCGAGGCTGATAGTTGCACCGTATGTGTGGAGCGCGTCGTTGCCAAGGATGATCTTGGTGTGGTTGAAGGGGCTGACATAGTAGCGAAGATTGAGAACAAGTAGTTGACGGTTGTCGGACACAAACGCAGTGTCTAGACTAACATAAGACCAAGCTTGAGATCCAGATCCAAGTCCGCGCACTTTGAAGCTGGTGCAGGGCACAGGTGTGACCAAGGGATAGTGCTCTTCAAGGTATCCTTTGTCAATCAGAGAGACTGACAAGCCTGAGTCAATGCAAACGTGGTGGCCAGTGCGTTTGCCATTGATCCAGACCTTGGCAGTTGCCGGAACCTTAGCTGTGTACATTGGTTGGTTGGCAGCAGGCTTGTGCCACGGCTCAGTGATGCGCAGATGTCGCATAGGTCGAGGCTCCTGTGGTTTTGCGCTGGATGGGCACTCAGGCGTGCTCAGCGCTGAGCGTGATACATCCTGTACCGCAAGTTCCTCGTCTGGGAGTGGCTCTGGTGACGTGGCGAACGCCTTGGTTTTGCTGCGTGTTGTGACCACATTGGCCTCAGCATCCGTGGCGCCCTCCACAGTTGGTGCCTGGTACCTGTTGTACGGCAAGTCTGTGGCATTTGCATTGGTGGCAATGGGCTGCGTCACTGCTGCATTGCTGGTTGGGCCTTGTTGGGGTAGCGACGGACAGTTACAAGAGATGTGGCCTACTTTGCCGCAACGGTAGCAGGTAATGGTACCGCCAGTGTATCGTGGGGCTGGTGCTGCTGGAGCTCGTGGCGCAAAGGGCCGTGGCGTTGTGTCGCGTCGAGGGTTCTCTTGTTGGTGTGATGGCAATGCAGGTGTTGTCTGGCGCGCTGGAGTGTGGTGACGAGGAGTGTAGGCCCTCTCATTTCCTTCATAGCAACAATTGGAGCTGTCACCGTATTGGTGACGGTCATTGCGCTGTGATCCAAAGGTATGAGCGCGCAGGCCATCTTCTAGCTCCATGAGGAGGCGGCGGAACTCCTCCAATGTCATGTCCGGTGTACGGGCAGTCCGTATGAAAGGGTGCATGGCGGTTGGCATACCAAAGATGATCTCTTCAATCTTGGTTGAGGTCTCAATGCTGGAGCCGTAGCGCTTATTGATGAGGTTGAGCTTGTCCCTGAAGTACGATGCAAATGGTTTGTCAGGTCTGAGGCGGCGGCGTGAGAGCTCTAAGTGGACGCCGTCCAGGTAGTTTGGAGCCCAGAAGGCAAGGCGGAATGCTTCTTGCCAGTCATCCCAGGTGTGCATTTCATAGCGCTGGTCCTTGAGGTCAACAAACCAGTCGCGAGCACCGTGCTCAAGTAGACGTGGGATGAGCTTGAGGAACTGTGACTCCCTGGCCCCAGAGAATTCAAAAATTGCTGTGACTTCTTCAAGCCATGTGTCGACATCGTTCTTGCCCTTAGCTGAGCCATTGTATTTGGGAAAGTCTTCAACCCGGAGACGGGTCTTGTTGCTGGAGTCATCTGACTCAGGTGTTGCGCGTCGTGCTGGGCTGTCGGTGCTACGGCCAGCTGGTGTGCGCCTCTCTCGTGGTGTTCTTGTGTCTGGCTCTCTCATAGCCATTGATTGCTCAAGTAGCTTCTCTAGTCGATTGATAGAGCTTTGCAGCTCCTTGTTCTCTTGTTTGTAATGTTGAACTTCTTTTGCGTGCTGTTGCTCAATAGACTCCTTTAGTGCATTGAGCGAGGTGGCAAGCAGCTCTTCCTGCAGAGTCTGCTGGCCCTGATCTTCAACATCAGCGGAGGCCTCAGCTGTACGTGTGAGTGGCGGCGCTGAAGGAGAGCGTTGCGTGCTGGCATCTTCTGGCGTCTGATGCGAGCGACCTCTTGTGATACGAATGTTGTCCTGTGACATTGTGTGTGGCAAGGTTTGTTATGCCTAAGATGAGGTGCAATGGCGAGGTATGTTACGCCGCTGGACACGGTCCGTTGTGTCCTGATGTAAACTGAGACGAGGTACGTTACGTGTCAAGGCAAAGTCCGTTATGCCTGGTGCAATTGACAGTGTCGGCTGTCGCACAATCGATTACCAGCAAGACCCAGTCTTCTGTAATCAGTCCTATCTTGACACGAGCAAGATCGTCTACCAGACTGGTTGACTGGCCAGTGGGTAGACCTCGTCGGCTCGAACCCGGCTTTGACGGGGACTCAGCAGCGTTTTTGGCGGCCCTGCTGTAGGAGTAGCGACCTCCTCTTCTTCCTTACCCGGGTAAGGAAGGAACAAGCACAAGTGACAAGCTTGTGCTTACCTAGTACAACCCAGTTGTACTATCCTTGGATCCGTGATCCAAACTGTCAAGCGCAGCGCCGTGCGTCCACGGGGCTGTAGAGGAGAGTGATGAAGCAGTCGTAAAGTTCCTTTGCTTGAACCCCTGCAGTGGTCACCAAATGTAACAATGCGGCTCAGCGGTGATAAACGGAGTTGTCACCGGCGCAGGTAAGGTTCTGTGCTCGTCAAACTAGGAGCAGGGAACAAGCAGTGAGTGGACGGAACATTACGACGGGCAAGGACTTAGCTGATGCTAGAGCTGAGGAGAGAGAAAGACGGCTGGGTGATCAGGCCAGTCGTTGAGCGAGCGTTGTTCAGAA